GAATGGCGGAAAATGACCTCAAATCCTAAAACATGGAACGGCGGAAAATGACCTCAAATCCTAAAACATGGAACGGCGGAAAATGACCCCAAATCTTAAAACATGGAACGGATGCCAGGGCATGTTGCACAAATTTTGTACAAAGACACCAAGCGCTTGGCTCATTTACTACACTGAATCCAAACATTTTACCTAACGTTTCCAAAAGAAACAATTTTTAAACCTCCAAAAGCACCCGAGTCATTTGGAAAAACGTATTTTCAAATGAAAGTTAATAAATTAGGAAGATGTCTCGTACCTGGACGAATCCCCTTGGGAGGAATTTTCGCGGCAACAGCTCGTCTTGGGGCACGTCTTTCATGTTATTTGCATATTTTGTTTACATCGCACACTTGACAAAATTCACACGTGGGGGCTCTACGCTTATGAAAAAACCTTTGCTCATGGAAAAATCATAAGCAAAAGAAAGTCTTTGTCAAAAAACAGGCCCAAATGATGGTATTTGATGTCGCCCTGTCGCTCGTTTACTAACACTCATATCGCCAATTTGTTTGGGGACAAAAGTCACTGTCGCTTTTTCGCTTTGATAAAAATGTTGCTGTTTTGCTAAATTTGGCAATACAGTAATTTCTGACGAACATACATACTGTAGGATTTCCAGTCGGCACTAGACAGACTGTAGGATTTTACGCTGTTAACCAACGGCGTAATTTTCTCCAGACGGAAATATATATACTGTAAAATTTTACCCCGTTAATATACTTTTACTATATATTTATTAATTTTATTATTATACTGACTCAGATAGTGGTGTAAAACCGTACAGTCTACAGACTGTGTTAGTCACATATTACGCAGTTATCCATATTCCTGCCTGCCACTTTCCCCCATCCCTTGACTTTGGAAGGTCGAGAAACTGGGGTTTTCAAAATAAAGCTATAAATATAACTATTTATTAGCACCTTAGTCTTTCTTTTTTCTGGGGTAATTAAGTATTATCAACTAAGTTGATAACGTAAATTTAACACGGTAAAGATTTGAAAGCTGACGTTTCGAGCGTTAGCCCTTCGTCCATCGCTCTGACGAAGGGCTGACGCCCGAAACGTCAGCTTATAAACTCTTTACGGCGGCCAATTTACGCTCCCAACTTAGTGGATAAAACTATATTACCTTGTTATAGTCTCCCACTGACGCAGCACCACGGTTTGTTTAGAAACTTACCCCTTTTATTTCTTTATTCTACCAGATCATTGAATCATTTAAATGAAATGAAATGAACAGTACTTGATACCATTCTTTTTGCCAGGTTTGGTTGGGGCCTAAATTTCTACTCTCTACCTTTCATTTTTCTAGGAATCTTCCACTTCGTAGCATGGAAGATTTCCAAGATTTTCTTCAGAACCTGGACTTCAAGTTCTTTGAACATGGTGTTACAGGTTATAGGACCCCACTGGGGGGGCATGTGTACACAGCCTCAGATGACCCCCCTGAGGTTACAATGGAACCTCATAATGAGTGTTCATATTCACCATTTTTTCCAAAGAAGGTTTGTTTAAATAGTCACTTTTTGTGTGGTAGCAGTAATATAGTATTTATGTGTGATACATGTACACATTATGTGTCAATTAAAGTTGGTCAGTGTTATGTGTTCTTAAGCACGACACTTCATTTTCACAGAGCCCCTCTCCACCCAAGGGAATCAGTGGATAGTAGCAAACTGTTTAGGCAATCTGAAAAAAAAATCAGGGGGTAACTTAGTGGCACACTACTTTTTTGTCCAGAAAAGGGTTCACACTCCTAATAACTTCAAGCTACTGAAATGGTACAAAGATGAACTTAAGTTTAAAGACTTTCCTTTTTTTACAGTTAGTTATGTTCTGTTTAAAAGAACCTGACCCATCTTGTGGTGGTGAAACTGTTCTCCTGAAAAGCCAAGATTTGACTGCCCTCTTGGATCCTGAAGTGATTCAGAAGTTTGAGGCAAAGAAGATTCGCTATCAAGCATTTCTACCAAATAAGAACACAGGAGCTGGACTTCAGAAGAGCTGGCAAGACAGATTCTGGATGGATGATCCCAAGGTTCGCTAAAAACTCTTTTTTCAGATGTTTATCCAAGGTGCTTGGTTTTGTTGAATTTGTAATTTGGTTTTGAAGCAGCACTTCTGGTCCAATAATGCAGGTAGATACAACTGGCGTAATGAAATTTTGGTTTACAGTAAACTTCTAGGATTACCTTTACCCATATAATAAGATTACACCAGGAAATTGTTTCTCCTGAAGTAAGAAAATACTTAAAGAAATATTTTGAATATTTGTCACAAGAAGGGGACTCAGAGAAGCCTGATAATTTAACACCAGTTGGTTGGTTGGGTGCTTTATGAGCTGGGATACAGAAAACTCCTTGGCAGGCTACACAGTATAGGTTACAGCATCATCTGTTTTTGTTTGTTTGTTTGTTTTTTAATGTTAATAGAGACTGATCAATTGAAAAAGTAGGTCTTTAGGTATCGTTTCCACAATGTAGATGCATGCAATGGAGTGTCATCAATTTAATCCTTTCAATGACTTGTTTGTATCAAATAGGAAGTGGAAACAATTCTTGAATCAAATGGATGGAGTTTCTCTTGGGACAAGGGAAAAAATCTTCGATTCTGGTACCTTAACTCACCTGTTATTGAACACCCCGTGACTGGGGAGAAGATATGGTTTAATCAGATAACAAGCTACAATGCAAGCTACTTCAGAGCTCTTCCTCTGTATGAAAATACTGGTGATAGTATTGAAGATGATCAATTTCCTTTTCACTGCTACTATGGTGATGGATCTCACATTGAGCCTGAGGTCCTTCAGCATATTCGTGAAGTGATGTGGTCCTGTGCAGTGGGATTTCGGTGGCGAACATTTGATGTTGCTGTACTGGATAATCAACAGGTTTTACATGGAAGGATGGGATGGACTGGAGACAGGAAACTTGTGACTTCACTAATAGATGAATAAAGCTGCGAATCCTTTTTAAGGCCAGGATACACTTTGGTATTCATAGGTGTGAAGGTGCATGGACAGATCGTAGCAAAAATTGGCTTTGGGCGACATGAAGAATAATTTTTGTGAAAATATTTGTCTCTGTAACAAAAATTTTAATGTGAGAGGGTTTTATGTCAATATTTTACAATATGTTTCCTATATCAATTTCAATGTATTTGATTGTTTTTTTTTTAAATATTTGATTATTTTATTTTCAAAACAGCAAAACATGACAATATTTTTGATGTATCAATTTATTTTATTTAGTGAAGAACACAAGTTTCAACTCCACATGTGTACAATAATGATCTCTTAAAACTTATCAAATACCTAAAGTACAGGGTCAAATATTTTTAGTGATTTCCTTACCTTTTGGTTAAAAATATTAAAATGTTAAAAAATTGGAAGATTTATTAGTGGTGTGAAAATACATTTTCGGTTATTATCTTAATGTGAGGAGAAAGGACAGGATGCAGTTATTACAAAGGCTACCATTCAAAAGATTTACACCTCAGTTATTTCAATTTTTTTCATTTTCGATCAATAACATCATTTTCACAAAATAAATTATGTCATAATAGTTGTAACAAAGTATAATTATTATGTATATATTTCATCATTCTTATACTCTTTGTTGTCAATAAAATCTTAAGGACAAACTGCAACATCATATGTCATCAGCCATTACCAAGCAATGGAATTTACTGCAGTGACAATTACTGCTGAGTTCTCTCAAAGCATTGGGCTACAGCCACTGCAGTTTTTTGAAGATTTACTCCTTGAAGGTTCACCAGTATTGCAATGACCACTCCTTTCGGAGGTTTTGTGTGAGCTTGTTGCGGTCTTATCATCAATATGCTGCTTGCTCCAACTGCTGCCCCTGGAAAGAAAATATCAGATTTGATGAAAAATGTAAGTTTGGGTATTCTGTGGTCATCAAGTTTTCTCTGGTAACCTCACACTCAGTATGCTTGGATGTAAGCCAAGAAATGGCACTGCGTAATTTTCATAAAATGTGGTCAAGAGGTTAACTACCCAAGAAAAACATATCACAAAAGCATGTAGATTTTCTTCTTGACTCAAATTCTACTCTACCAGGGAAGCTTAAAAGTGTCTGATTGAACTTTGTATAACCGAGGGTTAAAAAAGGGTGAATTTTCTTAGCAAGTATTTCGGTAAGCCTCATCTGCCTGAGACAGAGTCAGTTTCCCTAGCTTGCAAGCAAATACATCAAACCCGAAATGAAAAAGTGAGAGAGTTGGATTGGAAACTTAAGTAGTATAAAAAAACTGTTGAAATTGTTCATAGATGAGGGGGGGGGGGGTCTCTTCAAGGTATTCAAGGTATTTAGGATTAGTGGTGATAAATTTCAGGGTTTACTTAAAATCTTACCATCATGAAATACACATTCTGATTGATGTGAGCAGCATCCAAACTCCTGTTTTTCTGCAATGACCTCCCACCCAAGTCCATAGCCACCATCTCTGTCACCTTGACCTTCTGTGTTAGCCACAATTTTCCAGAGTTCAGTTACAGTATGAGGTTTAAGAAATCCAGGAAGATAGCCTGTTATTAAATTGAGTGTTATTAGATTTGTTTTCATCATCTTGCACCCTAGTTGCTACTGCTTTTTCTCGGTTTATTATCAGCTCTACCTTCTTAACTTTAATTATATTTGTAGCATCCTTCAAGTTGAGGGTAGTTTTCCACAGTACAAAAAAAGATTTAATCCTTTCATTGCCAGTGGTAATCAGTGCCTACACTCTCCTCTCAGTTTTACACTATCACACTATCAACAGACAGGTGATGAGAGTTAAGATAATAATCAAATTGGAGATGTGCAGATTTAGCTCTAAAAATCTCAGGACTGGTGCACTCAGAGGTGTGAGATCATGAGTTTGGAAATCAGCTTTCAGGTTTTTTTTTTTAGTGAAAACTACTATTGCACAGGTGAAGGCAGTTTACCCTGATCTACTGTAGTTCTAAAATAACCTGCCATACCAGATGCTTCCTTTCTGTCCACCTCTCCTATCTGTTTGGCATAAAGCAAAGAATTCCCAAATTGGATCAGATCTTTCACAGTAGACAGGAAACCTCCGCCTGCCCACTTGTAGGAGTTGTCTACATATGGTGCATTCATAAGACGTCCTTTACAATTGCGTTGATAAAATCTGCATTGAGTGAGAGAGATCGTTGTCATTAAAAATTCATAATTCAGGAGCACTTGTGGGTTAATCTAACTAAGAGACATTGGACAAAAGGAGTAAGGAACAGGGGTTAAAATACTAACATGCACATGAATACAAGAGGAACAAATCAATAGTATATAATGCTGTGAACATTTTTATCATCCATTTAGGGTCATTTCATTACTTTTTTCCCATTTTCATAAAGTTTGAATTAAAAGTGAGTGTTGTGAACAGATATAATGATTTGTATTAATATCCAAAAATATCTGATAGATCCGTATTGATTGCTTACACCATGTAACATAACTTAACCTTGCTCTGTTCAGAATAATTGTATCATTGAATTCAGCGCGTGTGTTTTCCATGCCCAGATCTTTAAACAGTTTTTTCATATACAGAAGAAAGTCTTGTCCAGATATGCTCTCAACAACAGCACTTAGTAAGGTCCAACCATGGGTGGTGTATAAATAACTTGCACCAGGACTGGATAGGAGTGGGTCATCTTTAAACATGGCTATTGCCTCAGAAACTGATTTGTAATGGTCCTAAAAAAATGAGTAAATTTTAAATTACACTGCTGAATGCATCTATCTTTGAAACAATTACTTAAAGGAAATGTAGCATTACAACTAGTTAACATCATTTCTATCTATAATAATGTGACCAGGAAGAGTAACAGAAGCAAGAAGTTTGTCGAAAATGGGCACCTGGGACATTTATTACAGTACATGGCAACAAAATATATTTAAGAGGAAAGGCAAGTCTAATTAAACACTCTCTCAATAAAAGCGTTGTCTCAGTAGAGTTTTAGAGCTAGATTATATAGAGAATAAGGTGAGACCTCAAGGTTATGGAATTGGGACCTTAATGAAGGATTGCTTGAACTGGACATACCGTAGTTATTCGGTTATAAGGTGCACTCAGCTATAAGACGCACCCCCAATTCGGCAACTTCATTATTGCATGTTTT